GTGGGGCTGTGGCGGCAGTGAGGGGGCTATGTGGGACAGTGTGGGGGGCAGCGGGGGACAGGTATGGCCTGATCCTGATGCTGGGTCACATCAGTGGTGCGCCCCCTTTCAGCATCCCCCTGGAGCGTCAGGGCCCAGATGGCTGTATGTCAGCCAAGTGTAACCGAGTCCTGCCTCTGACCGAGCAGGCTCCTGCCAGGCGTGGGGGGCAGGCCTGGGGCCTGGCTGAGGTCCCCAGGGCCCTCTTTGCTCTCCCAACTGCTAGTCCCCATTCCAGCTGATGGAGGGAGGAGGAGGGAGAGAATGAGCGGGCCTTGCTCCCCGCACAGTTCAAGGCAGGTGTTTACCTCCTGCGGCCGTTTTAAAGTGACCGTAGCTGTGTCACACTCTGTGCCTGCTTCCGGATTCCCCAGAGGACCTAGGTGTGGCCTCCAGGTCTGCCGAGGGCCTTGGGCCGTTCCCCAGCCTCTGGATTTCATTTCCGGGCTCGTCCTGGAACTAAGGAAGGTGTCCGGGGCAGCGTCTGCGATCTCTGCTGGGCTCCCACTCTCTGCTCTTGCCTTCCAGGACCTCGTGACGATGGTGGAGCAGTTGGCCAGATTTCTGGGAGTGTCCTGTGACAAGGCCCAGCTGGAGGCCCTGATCGAGCACTGCCACCAGCTGGTGGACCAGTGCTGCAACGCCGAGGCCCTGCCCGTGGGCCGGGGTACGCGCCGGGCCGCCCCCGCCCCCCTTCCTCTGCCTCGGGTCCCCTCCCTGCAGGTGTTCGTTGTCCCCCACTTCAGTGCCCCGCTGCCCCGCGTCTCGCTCCTCCAGGGCACCTGGAAGCTGGGCCGTCGATGGCCCAGTCGAGTGCCCTCGACTGCTGTGTGCCCTGTTTCGAGCGCGTGGTGTTTTAGTTTACAGGAGTGGCTGCTGGGATGTTTCAGTTTCTGTGGGCAGGATGTTTTCATGCAGGTGCCATCCCAGATGGCCCCACAGAGCAGAGCTGCGGAGGGGTTTGGGGCTGTGAAATTTCGAAGCTCACAGCATGCAGATGGATTCCTCAGCCTTCAGCTGGCTCGTGGGAGAGTTGATGATGCGGGTGGGGGTGGGTCCCCATGCGAGGGGGCGCCGTTTTCCCGCACCCCAAGTGGGTGCTGGCTACACAGGTAAGGACTTTCCCTGCCCAGGGAGGGAGGGTGTGAGCAGGAAGTGCAGGCCTCCCAGGGGGTCGGCCGCACTGGCATCAGACAGCGAGGCTGGAGCCAGCTCCTGGCAGCGGAAGCCGTTTCTTGGGTGTGAGGCAGTTTGAGATGGGAGGAGTCCTCACGGCCACCCGGGCTGCTCCCGTGTCCTCAGAGGCTGCCTGACTGTGTGGAGCTCAGGCGTGAAAACTCCCTGGGTCCCCAGGGGTGGTTGTGGCTGTGTAAACCACCCTTTTGGTGAGAGCGACCCCCCTGTGACCCCTGGTGGTTTAGACCTGAGGTTGGTTCCCAGCTGGGTGAATCTGGAGCTTGCCCAGGTGACGAGAGGTCTCGAAGGTTGGGGGGTGGGGGCGCGCAGAGAAGCCAATGGCTCTGCAGCCCGGCTCAGATGCACAGGGAGGTACCTGGGCAGGGACAGGGGGCCGGGCCGCCTCACAGCTACATCCCGGGGGAGTACCTTAGCCAGGCCTCTGAGCTTAGGCTCTTTATTTGTCCTCTTAGAAGGGCTGATCATGGCCGGCACGTGGCTGACGGCCATTCTGAAGGTCAGGTGGACAGCGCCTTCCCAGAAAGGCAGAGCGGTCACCTCTTCCAGGAAGAAAACAAAAATACCTCACAATTTATTTCCTGGCTGCATTCTCACAAATATTTATGATTTACAATTTATTTGCTCTATTTTAGTTTTGCTTTTGCTGTGTTTTGTTATCCTTGGGTGTGACCTTCTCCAAAATACCCGTTTCGGTTCATTCGTGTGGTAAAGAAGTGTCGAGAACATACTGCGCGCCATATGCCCCTTCTGGTGTGTTTGCTTTGTCATTGTTCACCTTGGTTTCGCTTTGTTTCAGTTTGATTTTGTTTTCTTTTAGCACATTGCCTCTTTGCTCAGAAGACCTTCTTGCGTTGGTGAGATGCAGGGCTTTGAGTAGCCAGCTGCATTGCTTAAATTTGATTCATGTCACAGCATAAATTGCACTGTCTTGATTCCAAATCCTAAACCAGGTGGGTGACTCCTTTGACGAGCTCTCGGCTGCCTCAGCTGAGAAAAATAATCATGGGAAAATATAATAGTATGATTGCTTTAGAAGCTTCTCATTCTGTCCTTTAGGTGTCATTCACGAGTAGCAGAACAGTTTCTCTCGTTTCCTTCCTCTCCAGCACTGACATATAATTTTCATTACCGAGGAGGAATCCTTGTCACGTCGAATACGTTAGCTCAGCACTTGCAGGGTTGTGGTTTCATACCTGAGGACGAGGACGACTGTCACTAATGGGGCTGACGGAGGGGGACAGACGCCAGAGCCAGGGCTCTGATCTCAGACGTGTTGACAGCGAAAGGAATCCTGAGCGAGCATTTCTGTCCCCGAGGCCGTTACTGGAAAGCACGGTGACAGGGCTCCGGGCGGCGGGCCCCCAGCTCCCAGGGCTGAGAGGTCAGCGGCCCTACTCCTGACGTCTTCATGGTGGCCCTTAGCATTTGACTCATCCAGCTGCAGACTTTGTCATAAATGCACAGTGCGTGGGGGTTCAGCATCGGGGGCGTTTTGAGCTCTGCCCCCTGCCCCCTAAGCCTGCGTGAACATCAACCCGCAGGCCCCATGCCCCGCACATCTCAGGCGAGCTGGCAGTTTTCGGCCGGCCTCCCGAGCTGCAGCCCTGCCTGGCTCAGTGTTGAGGCGGGGCCTGCTCGCTGCCACACTCGCTTGGCATCAGGTCACAAAAGCTGGCTTACCCGGCGACTGTTCGTTCCTCCCCGAGGTCACGCAGGTGGGCTTCTCAGATCTTCCCCCTTGAGCCCGTCAGGAGGCTTCCTGCTCGCCATAAAATGTTCTGTCTTTTCGGATGATTTTTTTTTTTTTCCTTTTCAAATTCTCCAGAAGCAAATGCTGCCTTGGTGGAGCTGTTGAGCTGTATTGAGCTGGCATGGAGGCCCCCACGCCACGTGGTGCCAGGGCGGTGGGCCCGTTCCACAGGCACTGTCCACCCTCCGGGTGTGGAAGGTCACCGCCCTGTGCCCGGCGCTGGGGTCCAGCCCTGAACAGGGGGAGGGACACCAGGACGACAGGCTTAGAGAACCTGGTTCAGCTTGTCTGTAGTTCAGATAGCCTGCCCTGTCCCCATAGGCCAAATTCAGAGGGTCTGGGATAGATCTGGAGCCTTCCAGGTCAGTTTTGAGGCTTCCTGTGGCTCGGCAGCCGGCAGCCGGGCTTCAGCAAGTGTCCTCGTTTGTGTTTCAGGGAGGGTCGGGCTGTGGAAGGACATCTTCACCGTCTCCATGAACGAGAAGTTCGATCTGGTGTACAAGCAGAAGATGGGGAAGTGCGACCTCACGTTTGACTTTTATTTATAACAACAGCCATGGCACGCCTGCATGCTCACAGTGCCCAGACACGTCTAGCTACAAGTCCCCTAGGCGCTCATTTGTGACTCGCTGGACAAACCCAGACGCGGTGGAAATGGCGGGGGGGTGGGTGCGGAGGCCGGAGGAGGTGCGGTGGCTTCTGGTCCCGAGCAGCCGTCTCGCCTTTGCAGTTTGAAGTCTCTACATGTCTGATTACAAACATAAAGGTTGCAGTTCTGACGGCCGGTTCCATAAGTTCAAAGTCTGTAACACACGCAACTAGAATGTCTGCGTTCTCCAACCCCGCGTTATTTATTGTGTTTTATAGAGCTTTTCACTGGAAACCTAAATAAATGTCAGTAAACCAAATAAAAGTTCATTTCCGAGGGGACTCAGGAGCGAGCCACACCCCAACGGTAGCAAGATCTCAGGGCTGACTCTGTTTTTGCAGTTTCTCCTGTAAGGCTCGGCCACCCCGCGCTCACCGGTTCTCCGGGTCAGGTGGGGCGGGAGGCCGGCCCCCGATGGAGGCGAGTTCTCTGTCAGCTCCCGAAATAAAGCGGGAAACTGTTCCCGAGGGCCTTCCAGACCCGGCTACCGAGAGACCCGCCACCGGCCCCTGGGGAGAGCACGGAGGCCAGCGACGGGCGGACAGCGGATGCCGTGGCGGGAGCGTCCTCCGCAGAGACGCCGCGTGAGCGCGGAGTTGCGTCTTCGCTCTGCCGTCTCGCTTCGTTGCCTGGAGCAGGAGCCTGACGCTGCGGGGGGCGGGGGCAGACGCCGCGTGTGAATGTCTGGAGCCCCCGAGCCTTGGCCCGGTGTCGCCGCGAACCCGAGGGGCTCAGGCACGGGAGCGCCGCGGTGCAGGGAGAACCACTGCGCAGGTCCGGTGCCGGTCCACGCAGGACGCGTTGGCCGCCCAGGCTTTTCCCCTACACGCCCCGCACCTCAGTTTGCCTGGGGGAGCAGAGGCGACGTTCTCATTGCTCTCCCCCACCCCACTTCGTTTTCCGGCCCCCGTTTGGCTGGAGAGGTGGTGGAGGGTGGCTGGGAGAGCAGCCTGTGCGCGTGTCACCGCCGTAGTGGGACCGGGCTGGTCTCGGGAGTTGCCGTGGCTGAGAAGTGCCCAGGGGTGGCCGGGGGCGTGTCTTCGGAAGGGTCCAGATGCTCATGTGCTGTTTGAGGGAGAGCGGCTGGGACGGGGTGGGTGGCCTGGGGGGGGGGCTGGGCAGCACCTTTTCTGTGTATCCGTGAGGGCGGCTGCTTTGTGTGAAATTTCCTTTCTATTTTTCTATTTTTAGTACTGTACGGATGTTACTGAGCACCACACGTGATGTTCCTGTGCTTGCTTGCATCTTTAATAAAGACCCGTCCCATGCCTTGTGTCGAGCGTGTGCTGACAGGTGGAGGGGCCCCACATGGTCCCCTCAGCACTTCAGGAGTGTGCACCCTGCTGACCCCCCATCCCTGGGGCTGACCGCACGGGGTCACAGGCCTGTGTCAGGTTCGGCTGGTTTACCCTGGTTCAGACGCTCCACCTCGCTGTTTGTTCACTTTTGAGATCTTTGATGAGCCGAAATGAAAGGAAGGGTGGGGAGAAGCGGAAAGCAAGGGGGAGATTTGGGGTGCAGGTGTCTCGGGCCTCTGCCTTAGGAGGCTGCATTATCCACGTGGCAGCCCGTGGGGTGGTGGGCATCACACCTCACTGTGAAGTCCGAAGTCCGTCCTCCCTGTCCCTCACGAGGGAAAGTTCGGGATACAGTGTTCTCAGATCAAACTTTTTTCTTCTTTCCGATGGACCGGTTCCTTTAAGTCTCTGGGATCTGGAATTACCCTAGACCCCCGGTTGGTTTATGGACTATCCCAGAGGGTCCTCCCCCAAATCATTTATAAACCACCTAAAATGAGAAAACCGAGGTAAAGGCAGTGAAGCAGGAAGCATGGAAGGCAGTGCCCCGTCTTCGAGTACCGAGTTGTGGAATGCTGCCTCTGGCCCTGGCTAGTCGGCACTTCACGCCCTGGATGCGCCCGTTCAGCAAACACCCTACCCCTCCCTGTGCCAGGCACTGCTGTGGGCGCTGGGGAGACAGCGAGGCAGAAAAGGCGCGGCCTCCTGGTGCTCACACTGGTGGAGGGCGACGGAATTGTCACAAAACCTTTTTGAAACACTCCCCTGGCTGCTTTGTGAGTAGCCTGCAGACTGGGGCTGAGGGGGCTGTTCCCCTGGTGCGTGACTCAGAACCCTTGATGTGAGGCCAACCCAGCAGTCTTCTGACCCAGCAGTCTGGCTCTGTGTTGACGGAAGCGTGTGGGGACTGGCGTCTGGTTCCTGCCTCGTGGAAGGTGGAAGGATGGGGCGGGGTAGCTGCATTCCGCAGCAGGTGGGATTTGAGTAGGGCCAGGAGGGCGAGGGAGACCTTGGCAGGTTTAAGTCTTCAGCTGTAGGATTCCTGGACATCAGGGCCCATGACAGGAGCCCCTGCTGCCTGGCCTGGCTCCACAGACCAGTGAGACCCCAAAAAGGATTTGGGGGACCATCATAGGGTTTTACTCCCAAACATCTCCTCACTAGGCTGGGATTGTCTCTGGGCTCCCTGCCTGGCTCTGACAATGCTACTTGGAACCCTCCACGTGCCCAGTTTCTTCCCCTGAGGATGAGGATGGCCTTCCCACCTAAGCAGGTAAGTCACTTAATTTCTCTGATCCAGATCACAGTGTGCCCAGTAGAGATAATCTTCGCCCTGCTCACTCCATAGCGTGGTCATAACAAAAGAAATGGCTTTCCAAGCACAAATAAAACCCGCCAGGGTCATCTGTTCCCAGCCCTGCTGGCGAGCGCCCTCTAGCGGCCACATCAGACTTGACAGCTTCGTAGTTGACAGTTGAGAAGTCCCTGCTGGCTGATGTCGCCCTCTGGACTGCAGATACAGACGGAGACCTGCAGGCCTTGTCCTGCGAGGTCCCTAGTGTGGGACACGTTTATCCAGCTTTCAGCGAGCCGACTGCTCTCTGCAATGGGTTGGGGAGACCTCGGTGTCCATCCTTTCTGTAGAGTTTGGCCCCAGCTCCACCCATGGGACATGGTCTTCCACGCTTCCTTGCAGAAGCAGCCTTTTCAGACTGGGCTGGCACCTTGGCAGATGGTCCAGGCTTGCCCAGCCAGAGAGCACCTTCTGACATCCTGATGGCTGGACGTCAGCCCCTGACAAGCTCGCCACCTCCCGGGACAGCCATCCTGTTGCAGGCAGTCCTCTCTGGCCACTCGTGCAGGTCCCCTGCCCCAGGCCAGGGCTGCCTTCCACTCTGGACTCCCTCACTTGTGCTGACCAGCCCTGCCTCCACCTGGTGAACAAATCCCTCCACTCCCCCAGCACCCCCTGCTTTTCCCTCTCCTCCCACTTGCCTCACTGCTCTGCAGGTGTCCCCCTCCCTGTGGGGGGACAGCGACACCCCGAGAGCAGAGCCGTGCTGTCAGCCTTTTCCTAGGCCTGAGTTTGGTATGTCATCAGCGCCTAAGCATTGCTGAGTGAGTGGCATCTTTCATCGTTACAGTGGATTCCATTTTCCCCGAAACCACCTGCCCTGTACCATCTACGCACTGCTTGCCGGCTCTGCCCCTGGAGGCTGTATTTTCCCAGATGAGACCCAGGCTGGTGTCCTCCCGCCTCCCCCTGACCCTCGGCTCCGTGCCTTTGCCCTATTCCACAGTCTTCCTGTCAGCGCCCCTGGTCACTTGTGTTCTCCTCCCCATCTGAACACCTTTCCCGACGAGTCCCTGGCTCCCCTGACCTGAACCCACGGGACAGACTGCGTTTCTGGTGCCCTTCCTGCCCCTGCTCTCCCTCCGTCCCAGAGGAGCTGATGAAGTGAGGGAGACTGAACTTTGAGCCCGTGATGGACTTTGCCAGCAAGGGCTAAGAGAATTAGTCGCAGAAACGCTTGTCACACAGCTTGGGCCTGCATCGCCATCTCCAAGGCGTGCTGCGCCTTTGCCAAATCTACACATCAAATGACAATTTGATTCTCACACTTGGATCCCTGTAAGCTAGTTGGCACCGGATGTCTGAGCTGCAGTCTCTAAACCTGTCCCCTCGCTATTGACGGAAGGAGTCTGTGCTCTGTTAAAATCATTCCTTAAAAACTGGAGAATGCTAAATGTGTCCAAAATATAAAAAGCAACCAGAAAATGCATTTTATCCTCTTTAAAGTTGTGATCTTTACATAAATCCGTGCTGTTGGGCAAGTCATAAAATTTGCGAGCGAGGTCATTTCTGCAGGAGGAAAGATCCCCATCCAAGCCACCAAGACACTCTGCTCTGTACATCCTCAAAAAACAAGTGAATTGGTTAAAATCTCTTTTTTTCCCTTAGTGTTCCTGTCTCTCAGTTCCCCGCTTTACATTC